GTGGGCTACGACACACGAAAATTTGGTAATCTGGCGGAATTCGAGTTTTATGGCCCTAAAATGTCAAAAAATAAGGATTACGGGTCACTTTGTATGTACCGGAAATTTTTTAGGTGATACGAGTTTGGGCGTTCTGGGTTACGCTGATGGCATGTGTTACAGCACATCGGGCGGAATTCCTGTTTTATGGCCCTGAAACGTTAAAAAACAAGGAACAGTCATGGCGAGGCGATGACTAATGTTCTTTAGGTCATTTTTTGTGGGCCGAAAAATTTTTAGGCGATCCTAGTCCGGGAGCCCGGGCCCACGCAGATGGCATAGGCTATAGCATACGAAAATGTTGATAATCGGGCAGAATTCTAGTTTATGGTCCTAAAACGACAAAAAACTAGGACTAGTCATGGCGAGACGATGACTAATATTCCTTAGGCTATTTTTGATGGGCCGACAAAATTTTAGGTAATCCGATTCTGGGTTCCCGGGCCCACGCAGATGTCGTGCACTATAGCACACGAAAAATCAGGAAATCGGGGAGAATTCAGTTTTATGGCCCTAAAACGCCAAAAATTAGGAACGTTCATGGCAAGGCGAAAAATAATCTTTCTTAGGTCAATTTTGATGGGCCGATAAAATTTTAGGCGTTCCGCACCGGGGCCCATGCAGATGGCATGGGCTATAGCATACAAAAATCTAGGAATCGGGCGCAATTCCAATTTTATGGCTCTAAAACACAAAAAAATGAGGAACGATCATGGCGAGACGATGACTAATGTTCCTTAGGTTGTTTTCAATGGGTCGTTAAAATTTAAGGCGATTTGGGTTCTGACGCCCGAGACCACGCAGAAGGCGTGAGCTATTGCACACGAAAATTTGGGAACTGGATAGAATTCAAGTTTTATGGCCCTAAAAGCCAAAAAACTAGGAACAATCATGGCGTGGTGATGACTAATGTTCCTTAGGTCATTTTTATGGGCTGACAATATTTTAGTAGATCCCGATCCGGGCGCCCGGCCCACGCAGATGGTGTGGTCTATTGCACATGAATATTTGGAAATTGGGCGAAATTCCAGTTTTATGGCACTAAAACGTCAAAAAAAGGAACGGTCATGGCGAGGGGTTGACTAATGTTCTATATGTCGTTTTTGATGGGCCATCGAAATTTTAGGTGATGCGCGCCCACGCAAATGGCGTGGACAATAGCACACGAGAGTCTGGAGATCGGACGGAATTCTAGTTTTTTGTCCCTAAAGCGCTAAATATGAGAAACGGTCACGACAAGGCATTGATTAATGTTCCTTAGGTCATTTTTTATGCCTGGCAAATTTTTAGGCGATCTAGGTCCGGGCACCTCGGCCTATGGAGATGGCATGGGTTATAGACTATGAAAATCTGAGAATCGGGTGGAATTCCAGTTTTATGGCCCTAAAATGCCAAAAAATAAGAAACAGTCATGACGAAGCGATGGCTAATGTTCCTTAGGTCTTTATTGATGGGCCGACAAAATTTGAGGTGATCCGACTCCGGGCGCCCGAGCCCACATAGATGGCGTGGGCTGTTGCACACGAAAATCTTGGAATCGAGTGAAATTCAAGTTTTATGGCCCTAAAAGCTATAAAAAGAGGAACGGTCATGGCAAGGCGATGACTAATATTCTTTAGGTCGTGTTTTATGGGACGACAAAAAAGTTAGACGATCCGGGTCTGGACGCCCGGGCCCACCCAGATGGCGTGGGCTATCCCACATAAAAATCTAGGAATTGGGCGGAATTCCAGTTTTATGGCCCTAAGACGAGGAACGGTCATGGGCGAGGCTATGTGTAATGTTCCTTAGGTGGTTTTTGATGGGCCGACAAAGTATTAGGCGATCCAGGTCGGGCGCCTGGGCCCATGCAAATGGCGTTGGCTATTGCACATGAAAATTTGGGAATTGGGCGGAATTTCAGTTTTATGGCCGTAAAACACAAAAAAAAATAAGGAATGGCCATGGCGAGACGATGACTAATGTTCCTTAGGTCACTTTTCTGGGCGGACAAAATGTTAGGCATTCCGCGTCCGTGCGCCAGGGCCCACACAGATGGTGTGGGTTATAGCACACGAAAATCTGGGAATCAGGCAGAAATCAAGTTTTATGGCCCTAAAAACCCGAAAAGCGAGGAACGGTCATGACTAATGTTCCTTAGGTCGTTTTTGATGGGCCGGAAAAAAATTTAGGCGATTCGGATCCGGAAGTCCGGGTCCACGCAGATGGCGTGGGCTGTAACATACGAAATCGGCATAATTCTAGTTTTATGGTCTTGAAACGCCAAAAAACGAGGAACAATCATGGCGAGGCAATGATAAATATTCCTTAGGTCATTTTTTATGGGATGAAAATTTTTTTGGCGATCCGGGTCCGGGTGCCCGGGCCCATGCAGATGGCATGGGCTATAAGCACACGAAAACTAGGGAATTGGACGGAATTTCAGTTTTATGGCCTTAAAACGCCAAAAAACGAGGAACGGTCATGGCGGGGCGATGACTATTATTCCTTCGGTCATTTTTTATAGGCCGGCAAAATTTTAGGAAGTCCGGGGTCAGTCGCTCGGATGCATGCGGATGGTGTGGACTATAGCACACAAAAATCTGAGAATCGTCCCGAATTCTTATTTTATGGCCATAAAACGCCAAAAAATAAGGAACAGTAGCGATGTTTGTTGTTCGCTAGGTCATTTTTTGTGTGCTCCTGTGAAATTTTAGGCTATTCAAGGCCATTCGCCCAGATGCATGCAGATGGCCTGGACTTTAGCACATGAAAATCTGGGAATCGTTTTGAATTACTGTTGTTTTTGTCCTAAAACGCCAAAATGAGGAACGGTCATGCCATAGCGATGACTATTGTTCGTTAGGTCATTTTTTATGGGCCCGCTAAATTTTAGGAGATTCGGGGCCGATCGCCCGGATGCGTGCAAATGGTGTGCACTATAGCACACGAAAATTTAAAAATCATCCTAAATTCTTGTTTTATAGACTTGAAACACCAAAAAATGAGGAACGGTCATGCTAGAGCAATGACTATTTAAGTCATTTTTTATTGGCCCACGCAATTTTAGGAGATCTAGGGTCAGTCGCCCGGATGCATGCAGATGACGTGGACTATAGCACACGAAAATCTGAGAATTGTCCTGAATTCCTCTTTTTGGCCCTAAACGGCAACAAATGAGGAACGGTCATGCCGAAGCGATGACTATTGTTTGTTAGGTCATTTCTATGGGCCCCTAAAATTTTAGGCGATTCGAGGCCGGTCGTCCGGATGCATGCGGATGAATCGGACACATGAAAATCTGAGAAACATCCCGAATTCCTGTTTTTTGGCTCTAACGCCAAAAAATGAGGAACGGTCATGTCGGAACGATAACTATTGTTCACTAGGTCATTTCTGATGGGCCAGTAAAATTTTAGGCAATACGGGACCGGTCGCCCGGATGCATGTAGATAGCATGAACTATAACACACGAAAATTTAAAAATCGTCCTGACTTCCTATTTTTTGGCCATAAAAAGCCAAAATACGAGGAACAGTCATGCAGGAGCGATGACTATTATTCGTTAGGTCATTTTTATTAGCCCGCAAAATTTTAGGAGATTCGGGGCCGGTCGCCAAATGCATGTAGATGACGTGGATTATAGCACATGAAAACTTGGGAATCGTCCTAAATTCGTGTTCTACGCCAAAAAATGAGGAACAGTCATGCCGGAGCGATGACTATTGTTCAATAGGTGATTTTTTATGAGCTCACAAAATTTTAGGCTATTCGGGACCGGTCATCCAAATGCATGCAGATGGTGTGGACTATAGCATACAAAAATCTGGGAATCGTCCTAAATTCCTATTTTATAGCCATAAAACGCCAAAAATGAGGAACAACCTTGTCAGAGCGATGACTATTATTCGTTAGGTCGATTTTGATGGGTCTGAAAATTTTTAGGCGATTCGAGGCTGGTCGCCTGGATGCATAGCGTGGACTATAAACATTACACGAAAACTTGGGAATCGTCTTGAATTCCTGTTTTTTTGCCCTAAAACTCCAAAAAATGAGGAACGATCATGTCGGAGCAATGACTATTGTTCTTTAAGCCATTTTTTTATGGGCTCTTAAAATTTTAGGAGATTTGAGGTCAGTCGCCCGGATGCATGCAAATGGCGTGTATTATAGCACATAAAGGTCCGGGAATCATCCTGAATTCCTATTTTTCGGTCCTAAAGTTTTGCAGACCCACCAAATGCACCAATATGTCTATGTGTAGAATAGAGTACTAGCACAGGTGATAAATGCTATGGTCCATTCAATGGCTTCAAGAGGTAAATTGTTGAATGTCTTAATTGAACTGATTTTAGCAAATTACAATGTCGGTAGACAATGTATTTTTTCTGGCAAACCAAATCACTTACCTACAGTGTCTGCAATAGTAAGAAACTTTTTTTTTAGCTCCAAGACATCTGATTTTTTTTATGACGTTGATGTTTGGGTTAGCGTGCGCCCGACTCAATTATTTCACCAGGTATTTATTACCTTCCACCAGCACAAGTATTATGTAACTTTGTCCACCAAGACTTAAGTAGATAAGAAGTAACCAATCACTTACTGCTTTTTGCCTCCGATGAAAGGCTCAAGACAACTGATCTTTTTTTATAATGGTAATATTTAAGTCAGTTTGCGCCCATCTCGACTATTTTATCGGGTATTTATTACCTCCTACCAACACAAATATCATATAACTTTGCCCACTCGAGCTTACGGTGCAAATATCCATTTTCTTCTTTCGGTATCTCTACTTAATATGTGTCATTGTCCCAAAATGGTAAGTTGGAGCATTTCATCATAAACATACTTATCATTATTAAAGAATGGGCCATGACTAAATATTTCTCATGGATTTTGGCATTTTGCATTCGCCACTTAGTTCATACAAAGGCAAGAAGATTAGCAGCCACCGACAATAAATCAGTTGAAAATCTTGACCACTGACGAACTTCAACTTTTTATAATGAAGAAATTGCCATGCTGACATACAATGATACAAATAAACCTAAACTAAGCGGAAAAGCTGCTACAACAGAGAGAATGAAGACGTCGGTTTTTTCCCCACCGATGTCTGATAGCCGCTTTGTGGCCCCGACTGATCTGAATTCGTGTCATGTAAGGCCCATTAAGGGGAAGCGCTCTCTACCAGTAGTTTTTTCAGAGACGTTGGTTGAGAGTGCATATCTTACTGCAACATTCACCTACTAAGAATATGGTAAAGCTTCAAAGCAACTCATCATATACAATGAACTTGTACTTCCTATGAGGGAAAAATATTGAAACTTTTATGTTGCATAGATATAAGGCATCACTTATAGAAAACTTGCAACAATAAGATTTACTGCACAGATCATAGTGGTAGCCGGAGCAACTTACTCTCTTGACAGCAACGGCAGGAATCATATTTTATATAAAACAAAGATAAGGCTGACATACCGAAACAAAAACTGGCTGAATCACGAATCCATCTGTTTAAACTGCAAACTTCACTTCATGTTGATCGAAGCAAACAAACTCTGAGAAATATTCCAGTTTGTAGCTTACTTTTCTGATAACAAAAAAAAAAAAAAAAAGATCAATAAAGTAGAACACTTGCAGAGTGGACTTGTTTGAAATAGGGCAAGCAAACAAGCACCATGTTCCAAGAGAGAATGAACATGATAGCTCCAGAGATACATAATATAGAAATTTGAAACAAACAAGTCTATGATTGAACCTACACATTCATATACAATACATTAGTAATAACAAAATTCAGAAACAGCAGACAAAAGAGTGAAGCTTCAAGGACAACAGCCGGGGCAACGAATTAATCCATTTTCATTGCAGCGCGGGCACTTCCTTGACGTCCCTTCCTCCAGTTCATACAATTTCCGGCTTCCATTGCAACCAGGACATAGTACAAACCTCGCCTCACCACAACTTTCACAAGTGAATCCATCGTCCTTAACCGGAAACCCTTCCGAAAGCTTAGCCAATTCTCCAGTCTCATGAAGTCGTCTAATCTCATCTACACCACCAATGTACTTCCCTCTAATAAACACCCGTGGCAAGCTCACTGCTTTACCTTCCAAAACATCTCGTAACTCTTTCCTATACGACGAATCCATAGAGATATCCCTTTCATCTACACATACTCGATACCCTTTAAAGATCATACGCGCAGAGCAGCAATCTTCATAAGTCTTCCTAATTCCTCTCAAACTAGTATAATACAGAACAATCCTGTCCTCAGTACCCTTTAAGTAGAAATCACTATTAAGCAACAATGAGCTCAGAGACCTATCCACAGACCTAACTATGTTCGATTGATGCTCAAATTGTTTCGAAGACAATGCTTTTCGATAACTTAAAGCTACATTAGGATCCATTTTAGCCAACAATGATTCCTCAGACAAATGCTTCCACAATGGCTTCACATCATGAGCATTACTATTACACTTGAACTTTCTAGGAGAGGGAGACTCTTCAACATGGGACTGAACCATACGAAAATCAAAGTCATCAAGGCCTTCCATGAGCTCCCAAGTGTTGATAACTGAGTCAGGAGATGAAAGGTCTTGCGGATCACCCTCATTGTGGCATTTCATCAAACAGGAGGTGGGATTGTCTGGAACTTGAGGATCAAGAAACCCATAGGTAGAGGAAGTAAGTGAGACTAAGTGGTTTGTGTCCCCTTTACAAAGGGGTGGGTGGTGAACTAGAGGAGTAGGTAAGGACAGAGTTCTTGAAACTGGAGTTGAAGAAGAATCAGAGTAAGAATACGGAGAATGTGTAGAAGAAAATGAGTTTGATGGGTTTTCTGGATCTTTTGTAACAAAGTTATAGGAACGAGAAGCAGAACAACCCATGAATGGAAACACAGTATAACAACCAAATTGTTGAAATTTTGTGCAGATTGACCAAGAAAACAAGAGGATTTTGTAAGTGTGGTGGGTTGGGGTGTGAGGCAGTGATTAGTCTGCTTATTATTAGTTTGAGCTTTACAAATTACAAAAGCTTCTCAAATGGCTGCAAATTTTGACGTAATTTGGTAAAACTCATTTGTCCATATACTACTAGTTTGTGATAGTGACTCTGGTTACAACATCTAGCAAACCATTAATGTTTCTTTAAATTTTGAGTAAATGTGTTCCACTTGTATCTTCCTTTTGTGTACATTTAGGGTGTGTTTGGTATGAAGTTTCTAATTTTTCATGTTTGGTTGGATTAAATATTTTCCTTACGAACTCATTTTCCTCCAATTGGAGTATCAAGAGAAAGGAAAACATTTTCCAAAACTCTTTCTCAACCTTCCCTACCCTCACCAACCCACCCCACCCCCTCACTCCAAAAAAGTTTTTTTTTTTTTTTTTTCAAATTTTAGTTTTACGTTACCACCCATCCTACTACCCCTCTACCCCACCCCACCCTCACCCCCTACCGCAAAAAAATATTATTTTTTTTTTTCAATTTCAAATTTCTGTTTTTTTCGTTTTCTAACACACCACCCAACCACCTCCCCCCCCCCCCCCACAAAAAAAATTTTTAACTTTTTTTTTTTTTTTGTAATTTCAAGTTTGTTTTCTTTCGTTCTTCCTGCCCCCCCCCCCCTAAAAAAAAAAATAGTTTTTTTTAATATATTTTTCAGTTTTAGTTTTTTTATTTATCGGTTTAAAGGTTCAAAATTTTACAAGTTCCAAAGTTATGAGTTTGGAGGTTTATGTGTTTGGAAGTTTACGGGTTAGAAATTCCGCGGTTTCGAAAGTTTAGCGGTTTGAAAGTTTATGAAAAATGTGGGTTCGGAAGGTTGTTGGTTTGAAAGTTTATGGCTTCATGTTTATTATATCTAAATTATTTATGAATACTCTTGAGAAGTCATTTTTCTTAATTTGCGTACCAAACACCGAAAAATGAATAAGATTACTACTTGTTTTCCAAGAAAACATTTTTCGTTATACCAAACACACCCCTAATGCTCGATAATTATCAAGAATAGACAGATATGTGAGCGGATAGCTGGTGTATGAGACACATGTATACTTTCCCGTCTCAAATTATCTGTCATGATTCACTTGTGCACGCCCTTAATTGACATTTTGATATTTAATCTTTCTTCATCGGTATTTTAATAAAATTATCCATAATTGATGTGTTTGTAGTCTTCAAAGATAAGTATTACTAAGCGTAAAAAAGAAAAAAGATAATCAATTTTGTTTTGAACTTTAAACTGACAAATAATTTGAAACAGCTATTTTAATAATCACGACTGACAATATGAGACAGAGGGAATAATATATTAATGTAAAAGCCACGTCCAAAGCAATAAAAGTATTCAAGAAGTTAATGACTTAAAGTTCATGTCCAGAAAAAGAAAAAAAAACAAGAAATAGGTCAAGGAGGAGGAAGGCACCATAAATATACCAAAATTTGTGGTCGGACTCTATTATATAAATTCATGAGTGCATGATCACCACACATTACTTCGATTATCATACAAAATATCATGTAGTATATTACATTGTAGTTTACTCACCACATCCAAGTAGCTAGTACAATCCTCATTACTTCTTTTACCAGAATAGAAAGTACATTCAACTTCTTATACATCACATAAATTAAGTTTGCCTTTATTTAGGAAAAAAAAAAGCAGGTGCCTTCTTTATTAGATAGAAGCAAAAGGACAGCTCAATGCACAAAATATTCTATATTCACATAGGGTCCGAGGAAGACTCACAATCAAGGGGTGTGATATAAGCAATCTACCCTAACGCAAGCATCAGTGGTTGACTTATATTCTCACAAACTCCATCTTTTTTCACAAAGTTAAATAACCTAATATGTGGCTTCAAGAGATGGGTAATAAGTGTAACCTACAACTGGATCAGTCCTGTAGAAACTGCTCCTATCATGCTTGTTCAATGGTGCATTCACTTCAAAACGCTTCGGTAAGTCAGGATTCGCCAAAAACAAACGTCCAAATGAGACCAAATCTGCACAACTTTCAGCTATAGCTTCATCTCCCTTAGTTTTGTTGTAGCCACCAGAAGCAATAAGTGTCCCTTCAAAAGCCATTCTTATGGATTTGAGGCAATCATGATGTTCTTCCCTTGGCTCGAACACGTGAAGATATAAAACTCCGAGTTTAGTGAGTTCACTAGCCAAATAAGTTGCTAGAGCTTCTGGGTTTGAGTCCTTTTTCCCGTACACTTCAGAGAAAAGAGAGAGAGTTTTACGCCAACTCTATCTGCTCCAATTTCATCCACAACTGCTCCTATAATTTCAAGAGCAAGTCGACAACGGTTCTCAATGCTTCCACCATATTCATATGTCCTGTCGTTGACTTGATCGTTCAAGAACTGATCAATTATATAGCTGTTTGCAGAGTTAATCTCGACTCCATCAATCCTTCAATATAAGGAATACTAACATGTTAATAAGTGACCATTCATCAAGGAAAAATTGTGTACAGTATTAACTTTTGGTCTATCTTTACTCTAAAATGTCAAATGTCCTGAAATTGTTAATGAATGGATAACTCACCAGCTTTAATGGCATTGCGAGCTGCAATTCTGAAATCATTGACAATGAAGGGGAGTTCACTAGCGCTTAGTTGCTTTGGTGTTGGTCTGAAGTACTCACCATCGTCAGGTACTACGCATAAAGAACCATCAGTAAGAAAAAAATTATATATGTACTAGAGCATGTTTGGCGTAACTGGTAAAATTGCTGTCATGTGACTAAGAGGTCACGGGTTCGAGCTATGGAAACAACCTCTTACAGAAATGAAAGATAAGGCTGCGTACAATATACCCTTGTGGTCTGGCCCTTCTCCGGACCCCACGCATAGCGGGAGCTTAGTGCACCGGGCTACCCTTAGTTATATATGTTAAGAGAATGGATCATGGTTGTGATCGAATCGCAAAAATAAGCTCAAGAACTGAAGATAATTGTCCAACACTATATAAAGCGACTACATCCCATATCCAGGGTAGCATCGATGTAGCACTTTACACTCCGCCCTAGCTCCTCGCACAATTAGGATTGGACATCTAAAGTGTAGATGACATAACATAAAAGTCCAAGATCAGGTAACTCAATATCAAGAATGTTGTGGGGCTCTGATATATACTATGTTTAAAGAAATGGTTTTGTACCTAACTAAACTTAACTCAAGAGACGAGGATTGTCTAAGATCATATGAAGAGACCATAATGATTAGTCTCAGAAAACATGATCAAATCTAGCAGTATATATAAAATCAAAGTTTAACGAATTTATTACCTGCATTCCAAGCTATAAGGAAATTGTTGAGGCTTGAGTCGGATAGTCGCCCTGGATGCCAAAGCTGACAAAAAAAGATACCACCTTTGCCATGAATAGATTCAACAATGGGTTTCCATGCCTCTATTTGATCTTCTGTCCAAATTCCAGGCATATTTGGGGACCTTCAAATACAAGAATAACAAAAGTCTCAATTTCAAGATAGTTCCGGTCGGCTTTATGAATCATCAACATGCATTTCGTTTCGTTGACCTATAGGTCACATGGAGACAACTTTACCGTCGCTACAAGGCTCCCTTCAATATGCTTTACTTATATTACAGAAAAATAAATGCAGAGGAAAGTGAACTCCTTACCCTTTGGAGATATTAGAAGCACTAGTTGATTCAGAAATGAGAAAACCTCCCTTAGTAGCTCTCTGAGCAAAATATTCAGTAGCATGTGGTTGTGGAGTATTATTGTATGATCTGTTCCTTGTCATTGGTGGCATTACAACTCTGCATATCACAACATAATACGATATACCTGAATCGGTGGCGAAACCAGGAAATTCAGTAAGAGTGTTCAGATTTTGAGCACCCTTTGCTAGTGGCTATGCAGAGATGTTCAAAATCTATGTTTGAATCAGTAACAAGTAATATTTTATCCTATACATAGTATAATTCTTCGGGAAAGGTGTTCAGTTGACCACCCTTTGCCATACATAGCTTCGCCCTTAGCCTCAATGGCTCTATATATCATGCAAAAGGAAAAAAAGAAAAAGATAAAAGTAAGAAGTAATTAATATATGTAAAGTGAAATATACATATACACAGTACCTATGAGAGAGCTCAAAACTTCCCATTTTGTAAGGAGTAAGGAGAGGAACTGAGGTGGACTTTGCTGCCATCTCTCAAATGATCTTCTTTCTTATTTGATTCAGAAAAGTAGCAAACATCCAAATTTATAGACAAGTTTGATCAATATTTAAATATGTATTCTCTAATAATTATGCAACTTTAAAGGGCAACTAACAATATATATATATATATATATATATATATATATATATATATATACACACACACACACACACACACACATTGACCTCTGTGTATTGGTCTAAATTTGATGACCTAGTAACAACAGATAAACAAGATCGAGGACGAGGTCGACCACGGCGTAATAGTGGGAGGCCGTCCTCAGGAAGGTTATTGTCAGGGACGAGTAGCTGGAATAAAGAGATAACGGCAGGATAGATTTAGAAATAGGCATAAGGAATATTCCTTTGGATATTCCTTATTTTGTACTTTTTAGGGTTTCTTGGAAATACCCCTTATAAATATGAAGAGAGAGAGAGAACAAAAGGGGATCTTCACTTTGTGATAAAAGCACATTGTAAAAGGTTGACTTGAGAGAATATACAAAAGTTGTCTTGTTCATTGATTATCTTATTCGAGCACATGTTATTTAATCTTTGTTCACAAGATCCAAAGATTCCATAACCATCTTCACTTCTCATCTTCCCACGTTGCTGTCAGGAGAAAGAACAATCCAAATCATATAATAATTGGGTGGTAGATTCTTCCTCATTACATTTATTGCATTTTCATGTTATCATATTTATTGGTATTCATTGAGTGCAAACGTGTTATTTAACACTATCAAACGTCGTTCATCTTACCGATTTCCTACAAAATTTGATCTAGAATTTATTATTTTTAACTAAGATTCATCTTTAATTTCATCATAAATTAGTTTAACAAAAAGGCTTAACACTTTTTGGTCAAACAATTTGGCGTCTTCTGTGGGGATATTTTTAGTTACATTTTTTAGTTTTTTCTAGATCATAAAGGACAACCATCTTTTTCTCGTCTCACAAACTAACAATGGCAGGAAAAGGAGATGAAAGACAGAAAGCAATAATGGGTGTCACTACCAACATCTTAAACACCATCAACGAGGATGACAGAGGAGACGAGGAGAATGAGACGCCAAGTGCTACACCCAGGCGGAGTGATTCACCTCCCCCTCATGGGAGTGTAACCGCTTCGCGCGAAAGGGGAGCTTCCACGTCCACAGCTGAGGAAGCACCACCAGCAGTGAAGAAATTACTGGAAGGGTGACTGACCAGCACTCTATATAACATACTCGACAAACCCGCTCAGCAGGCGAATAGAGACGTCATACAGACGGATACCACGGCGATCGCCGACGAGCAACCCGCTCCCCCAACAGGTAACACTCACATCGCTGTTGACGCAGGTGCACTAGCAGGCATTCTAAAGAAAATGGAAGAAATAGAAAACGAGAACATGGAGCTCCGCGACCAGATGAAGGAACATCAAGAAAGGGTCGATAAAATACCGGGCGCCCCAAAACTGCTACCAAAAGAGGGCGTCGACCGATTCGTCGAACAACCATACAGTGAGGAGGCAGCTCCACATGCCATACCTAGAACCTTCAAGATGCCACCATACTTGAAGATATATGACGGCACGATGGATCCCGAAGATCATATCATTTACTACGTCACATCAGTAAAGGGTAACGACCTCTCAAATGAGCAAGTACCCTCAGTGCTACTAAAAAAGTTCGGCGAGACCTTAACCGGGGGAGCCTTAACTTGGTACTCACAATTACCAGCACGATCTATAACAACGTTCGAGGAAATGGTCGACAAGTTCGTCACAGCCCACGCCGGGGCTAAGAAAGCGGAAGCCAGGGTAAATGATATATTCGTCGTTAGGCAATCGCCAGGCGAGGGGCTCAGGGACTTTTTAGCCCGGTTTAACAGAGTAAGAATGAGCTTACCAAATGTATCGGAAGGGATGGCGGTGGCAGCTTTCCAGAATAGGTTGAACAGGAATGGGTCAAGAGCGACAAGAAAACTATTAAGTAGACTCATGAAATATCCTCCCACCACTTGGGAAGAAATTCACAACGCCTACTGCGCCGAGGTGAGAGTAGACGAGGACGACCTTAATGGTCTGATACAACGGTTAACATCGGTCCAAATAGAGCCGAGGAAAGACCGCTGTAGTGACGGTCGAAGAGATCAGTCAGGTCCAAGCCTCAACCGAGACAAGCACCAACCTTATGTCAGGACAGCCGTCCCACCATCTCCTCGCCATGTGGAAGGACCGTCCAGGCCACATACAGGTTGACTCAATGAAACGAAAGAGGTATGCCTCCGCTCTTATCTGCTCATAATTTTTGTGCTTCCCCTTCAGAAATAGTGTACGCACTAGAGAAGCTCGGCCCGAAGGTAAAGACGCCACAAAAGATGAAATTCGACCCAAGTACCCGAAGGGCGAACATCCTCTGTGAATTTCATCAGGAGCGAGGTCATAAAACTGAGGACTGCATATCCCTATGGCAAGAGGTAGTGAACATGCTCCACCAAGGGCACCTAAAGGAGCTGATGAGCGACCGAGGAAGAGCCAATTTCGGCCGCGGAAGATAAAAACACCAAGTCCTACCAAAGCCGCCCTCCCCTGCTCGCACCATTCAAATGATCATCGGTGGAGGCGATGAAGCAGCAATCAACCACGTAAAGTTTACCACCATACACAAACTGAAGCTCACCAACGAACGGTATGATGATCTCGGAGAAATTATCATCTTCGATAAGTCAGATACCAACGGTTTGACTTTTCCTCACTCCGATGCTCTTGTCATTACTTTACGTATTTTAGATACTGATGTAAAAAGAATAATGGTAGACGACGAAAGCGGCGCGTGTATTATTCACCCGCGAGTTCTTGCGCAAATGTGACTCGAGGACAAGATAGTACCACACTGCATAACACTAACAGGTTTAACAATGCAGTCGAGCGAACCTCAGGAGAAATAACGCTACTCGTTCTGGCCGGGGGCGTCACCCTAGAAACAATGTTCCATGTCATGAACCAGGACAAGGCTTACAACGCAATCATAGGACGACCATGGATACACGCCATGAGGGCCATCCCATCCAACTTGTATCAAGTAATCAAATTCCCTACTCCGTGGGGGATATTCAGCATCCGAGGCAAACAACACGCAACCCAAGAATGCTACCGCATCGCCTAAGATTGTACATTCACTCAACAGCTAAAAGGAACAAACTCAGAAGCATAGAAATTATCAAAGTCGGGGTCCAAACTCAACGATCAGAAAGATGTTATCAAGGACCCCGACGTCGTGGAAGCCGCGGGATCAACAATAGAAGATCTGGATCCCGTCCAATTAGACAGCAGCGACAGTAGCAAAAAGGCTTATATAGGCCATAAGCTCTCCGAGCCAGGTAAATTTCATAAGTTTTTAATTAATAATGTCGATCTGTTTGTTTTTTCCCACGTAGATATGCCAGGTATTCCGAAAGACGTTGCCACACACAAGTTGAACCTCGATCCCTTCTACCCCCCAGTACGACAAGTAAGAAGGAAATTCAATGCCGCAATCAACGAGGCCATCAGTGAGGACGTGGATAAACTACTCGCTAACGGCTCCATCCGAGAATCGAAATACCCTCAGTGGGTCGCCAATGTAGTCATGGTGAAAAAGAAAAACGGGAAGTGGCGGATGTGCGTGGATTTCACGAACCTAAACAAGGGCTGCCCGAAAGACTCCTTCCCGTTGCCTCATATCGATCAGCTCATTGATGCAACAACACGACACGAGTAGTTGAGCTTCTTGGACGCATACTCAGGTTACAAACAAATCCTCCTCATGGAGGAAGAGGACCAGGAAAAGACTACTTTCATCACCCATCAAGGAACGTACTGTTATCGAGTCATGCCATTTGGCTTAAAGAACACAGGGGAGACTTATCAAAGATTGGTAACCAAAATGTCCAAGGACCAACTTGGCAAAACTATGGAAGTTTACATAGATGACATGTTGGTCAAATCGAAAAGGAAGGAAGACCACATCGACCACCTGAGAGAAGCCTTCGGAATACTAAGGCAATACGGCATGAAGCTGAACCCCGAAAAATGTGCCTTTGGCGTAACTTCAGGCAAGTTCCTCGGTTTCTTGGTGTCACAAATAGGCATCGAGGTCAACCCCGACCAAATCAAGGCTATTGAGGGAATACCAGGAGTGTTAACCAGCAAGAAACAAGTGCAAAAATTGACAGGCCGCATAGCTGCCCTGTCGAGGTTCATCTCATGATCCTCCGACAGACGCCACAAATTCTTAAACGGGCTCCAATGGAATGCAGAATGCATCGAGGCCCTAAGAGAACTAAAAGCGTACCTGTCTTCGCCCCCACTACTCGCCAAAGCAGAACCCGACGAATGCCTCTTGATATACTTGGCCGTATCAGAGGTCGCGGTAAGCGCAGTATTGGTCCGTGAGGATAAAGGTACGCAATCTCCGATCTATTATATTAGCAAAACTCTGGTCGACGCCAAAACGAGGTACCCTCACCTCGAAAAATTGGTCCTGGCGTTGGTTATAGCTTCACGAAAGCTTTTAGACCCTATTTTCAATACCACCTTATATCGGTGGTAACGACCTTTCCCCTACGAGGTATCCTGCATAAACCCGAGATATCGGGGAGATTGGCCAAATGGGCCATAGAATTAAGCGAGCATGATATAACATATCAGCCGCGAACAGCGATAAAATCGTAGGTACTCGCCGACTTCTTCGCTGATTTCAGTGCCAAAATAATGACTGAGGTCGAACAAGAAACTTCTCGTACCTCGTCCAGTCTACCCGACCTATGGGTCCTATACACCGATGGCGCATCCAATGCGTCACGATCTGGACTGGGACTCGTACTCGAGGTCCCAACAGGCGAAGTCATCCGCCAATCCATACGGTGCCCTGATATGACTAAAAATGAGGTTGAGTATGAGGCGGTAATTGTTGGATTAAAGCTAGCTCTCAAATACGGAGCGCGACGAGTCATCCTTAGATGCGACTCACAACTCGTTGTCAACCAAGTCACAGGGACTTTCCAAATCAAAGAGCAGAGGCTACAAAAGTACCAGGTGAAAATTCATAAACTGCTACCAGAATTCGACGAATGTCGACTCGATCAGATACCTCAAGCACAAAACATCGAGGCAGATGGTCTCGCCAAGTTAGCAGCGACCACCAAAAACATCACGAAGGAAAACGTGGTCACCCTCCTCCACTCACCAGTAGACCAACTTGAGGTACACTCTATAAATTTGACTCGGGACTGGCGCAACCGTATTATAACATATTTGCAGGAAGGAGTACTCCCAGCAAACAAAAAGGAAGCCAAAAAGCTTCGAATGCAGGCGTCCAGGTACAACATCATAAATCACGACCTATACAAAATAACATTTGGGGGGCCCTTAGCGAAATTCCTAGGGCCGAATCAAACAAGACGCGTGCTCGAGGAAGTACACGAAGGCCACTGTGGTGCCCATACCGTCAATCAAACCCTCGTCACATGCCTCATTCGAGCAGGTTATTATTGGCGCACAATGAAGAAGGAAGCCGCCGATTACGTCAAGAAGTGCGAACAGTGCCAGAAATATGCTCCTATGATACACCAAGCGGGAGAATACCTCCACCTTGTTGCATCGCCATGGCCGTTCATCAAATGGGGAATGGACATCGTCGGACCCCTCCTAGCAGGGCGAGGTAACGTACATTTTCTTTTGGTTTTAGCTGGCTATTTTTCCAAATGGGTAGAAGGAGGTGCGTTCACCCAAATACATGAACAGGAAGTTATCACATTCATATGGAGAAACATCATATGCCGCTTCGGCATCCCCAAAGAAATCAGCTGTGACAATGGACACCAATTCACCGAAAAGAAGACCGCAGAGTTCTTCAAAAAATTGCACATGAAGCGACTACTCTCCACGCCATATCACCCTGCTGGTAACAGCCAGGCTGAATCCTCCAACAAAACAACACTGAATATCTTGAAGAAAAAGCTTGAGGACGCCAAGGGACTATGGCCAGAATTACTACCAGAAGTACTGTGGGCATACCGCACCATGCCAAAAACAAGCACAGGAGAAATGCCATATTCACTAGTCTACGGGATTGACGCCATGATACCACTCGAGGTCGAGGAACCCAGTTTGAGATACTCCAACGAAAGCGGACCAAGCAACGATGAGAACAGAAAACAAGACCTCGACGAAACAGAGGAGCGAAGAGACATGGCTTACGTAAGAATGGTAGCCCAAAAGCAACAAGCAAAATGGTACTACAACAAAAAAGCTAAAGTAAGACCTCTTAAAGTCGGAGACTATGTACTCAAGGCCAAAACACAAGCGGGCAAAGATTCGAGAGAAGGCAAACTAGGAACCAATTGGGACGGGCCATACAAAATCACGGCAGCAGCAAATAAAGGATCATTCCAACTAGAAATAATGGAGAGAAAGCTACTACAAAACAATTGGAACGTCGCCCATCTCAAATACTTCAACTTCTAAAAACAGACGCCCTCCACATCGTACTCTTTTTCCCTCACCCGGGTTTTGTCCCAGTTGGGTTTTCTCGGGGAGGTTTTCAATGAGGCGACAAAGAGGACGTCTCGAAGTTCAAGTATAATTTATCGCCCCGCCTACCGACTACTTCTCCAGGCCGAACGACGAAGGTGCTGGATACATGGGAACTTCTCCAACATATGTATGAAGCAAACAAAAACATGTAATATTCTCCCATGAATGAAATAAAGCAGCATCTTTACTCTCCACCAAGTCTTTTTACTCTTTACATTCGACCTCGCTCGAATTACTTTACATTCGACCTCGCTCGAATTACTCTGCATTCGACCTCGCTCGAATTACTCTGCATTCGACCTCGCTCGAATTACTTTACAGTCGTCCTCGTTCAAAATACTTTACAGTCGTCCTTGCTCGAATTACTATACATTCGGCTCCGCTCGAATTACTTTACGTTCGACCCCGCTAGAACTACTTAATATTCGACCTCGTTCGAAATCTTCACCGTTCGACCGCGTCAAACGTCGATCTCATCAAAAAATCAGGGACTTCCCCATATAGCAAAAAGAAAAGAGAATGGAAATCAAGAAATACATAGCAAAAAGGGAGTTATTCCATTACAACTGTCGAATTACAATACTTTTTATAAAGGGCCCAAAAACGCCATCACAAAAATAGCAAAGCAAAACAAAAACTAAGTACGGAGGCTTTATGCCGCATCATCCCCATCGGCGTACTCA